GTGAGGGTGGTGACGACGTAGAGTGGGTGGGCAAAGCGCGGAGGGCGGTGGGGGCGGAGAGGGTTTGGGGCGGTGAATGGGGCAGTGTAGGCGAAGCGCTAAAGCGGTGTGGGTGGTGGGGTCGGTGGGGGGGGGGTGGCGGTGTAGCTGACGGGAAGACAAGCAAAAACCAACCCTGCGGGATTTCACTGGCGCCGCCCCAGCAGGGATCGGCGGATTAGATGAGCCAGAATCGCCACATGAAAGGCGTTTTTACGGTGCATGATGAAATTGGATCGATGATGAACCGGTCTCGACCCATGAGGGCGTGTTGAAGATACATTAGGAATTGTAATCCCCCAATAGCTTGGGCAAAACAATATCCTGCAAGTTGGAACTTACAATAGCTTGACACAGCGCAAAAACAAGCAAATTGTAATTACCCAATAGCTTGATGCAAAGCAAAAATAGCTTGACGCAAGACATGACCCTCGTAATTGCACTCCCCCAATAGTTTGGGGCAAAACAATACCCTACACGTTGGAAGAGCTTCGACATTGGAATCCCCCAATAGCTTGGGGCAAAACGCAACCCTGCTAGTTGCAATGCCCAGTAGCTTGATACAAGACAGGAGCCCCCCAATATCTTGCGGCAAGCGTCACCCCTGCAAATTGCAATTCCCCAATAGCTTGATGCAAAACAGTAGCAAATGTTGCAATTTGCAGTATTTGCAACCACAAAAACGAGCCAACGTTAGCAAATGAGACCGGGGACGGCCAGCGTTAGGAAAAAAACCCGCCGCAATTAAGTATGTTTAGAGGTGAGTGGAGCCTGCGGGTAGATTGACGTATACGGGGTTGGAATTCAGATCGAGACTGATTTCATTTGATGAGGCGTGTTGATATTGATGAGATGTATCAGTCAATCGCAGTGCCGACTTTCTCCTGTCTGCAGCATGATCTCGATCAAGCGGGTTGCATGCAGTGAAATGCAACAGACGACTCTGCTATCCGGTTAAACGGGCGACAACGATTGTCAACCGTGAGCCAGCGAGTGTATACAAGTTGGTTATCACAAGCACGAACAAGGTTCGGGCAGGGAACTTCCAAAGAGAAGCTACACATTGTATAAGCATGGTGAGACACCTTATTGCCAAGATTTTGTCGGAGATCTCAATGCAAGATATCGCAAATTTGTCAGTTCTGCAGTTGCTACTCATACTTGCATGTCAAGTCAGGCTTAACCATGTCAAAATGCTACGTCGTGGCCAACACCAAAGGCTCGGAGGTCTTGACACGCACAAGAGAAAAGTTGTGTGTTGCTTAAACACTGGGCCAAGCCCAAGCCATGGGCCGCCTCACGGACAAATACGAGCAGAGATTTTAGGCAGTGTCGGGACATCGAATCTTTCGCCTCATTTGGCGTAGCCTTCGGCTCCAATAATAATCTTCGTTGAAAACCGGTGGATCGCCGCCGTTGCGGCTGATATTCTGAAGTAACGAGACTTCGGCCACACAGCCGTGCGGTGATGGTGCTGTGCTTTTCGTGTTCCGGTCAGCCTCCCCTGTGGCCCGGCCACTGCCCTGGCCACTGCCCGCAGTGCCGGGCCGGGCTTTTGTGGCCCACCCTAAAGACCACGATGCTGGAAAGTTGGTGTCGACTCATGCTTTCACGTTAAGGCCGGAAGAGGCACTACGTGCAGCCCGCGACAGCCTGCAAAGCTTGAGAGAGCTTGAAACCGAGCCAGGCAAGGACGGAATTTCGGCCGAGACATAGCGTCGATGCAGACAAGCAGACCTGGCAGGAGTGACGTCATCACAGGACAGGCTCCCGTCGCGAAGTGCACGCTGCTTTGTGAGACAGATGCAGTCTCCTGCTTAAGCACACAGGATGGCATTGTGGCGAGGCCGTTCGAGCACATCGTCCAAGAGGCCTTTGCGAGCCCTGCAGCATCCTGCAGCTCAAAAGCTGAGCTTCAGGTGCAGGCCCTCCTCTATTGCGGTAAGGCCAGCAGCCGGCCAAGTGCCGCTCCAGGTGTAACTCGCCTTGTCGGCCAGGCACAGGTGGCTTTGCAAAGAGGCGCAGAGTCCTCAGAATTGAGCGGGTTGCGTAAGGGGAGTGGCAGGAGTCGAGACTGCCCGGAAGTTTTTGGAAGACGCCTTGAACCTTCTTGAAGGACTGTTCCGTGATTCAGAAGAGTTGTGAAGCAAAGCCTTCCATGCAGGACTTCGAGGCTCGGTTCGCCAAGGCCGGATGAAATGCGGCGATGGGAGGCTCGGTTTTGGTGTTTGCAAAGGTGAAAGGCTCCCGGTGGCCGCGGAGGATCTAGAGTCAGAAGTCACTCTTGCATGGGCCTCGTGGATTGTACTGCCCAGGAGATCTTTAGCGATGCAATTGATCCGGCTTGGCTGAGGTCCTGGTAGAAACGGAGATGGGCACGGCACACAAATGTCGGCAGAGAACCGCCTCAAGGAGACATGGCGTTCTGCGCTTGCAGGTGAGCCAGCCAAAGCTGCTGAGAGGGCAGGAGATGCTCGCATGAGGCCTCTTATGCTGCAGGATTTCGGCTTTGAACTTAAATTCGATTGCGAATTGCGGCAAGTTGCGGCGAATTGCGAGGTTCCAAAGGGATGGGCGCAAGGACCTGGAAGCTGCCGCATTGCAGCTCTTGGCCGCGGGCCCTGTGTTGTGGTGTTCATGGCACAGCCTTTCAGCACACGAGGCCCGGGCTCACATTGCTCAAAAAGAGCGTGTGCCTTGAAAGGGACCGGGCTCAGAGATTTGTGAGTTCATGCGACGTGAAGAGCACGAGGCCGTCGGCGGGAAGAGAAGCAGCCAGAGAGGCTGAGCACACATGTCACGGCATCACCAGCATGAGAACACTGGATGCACACTTTTGTAGTCCTTTTGATTTTGTAGCCGCAATGCTATCTTTTTTTCAGGCAATCCGTCTTCGGCAGGCCATCTGCTGATGCTTGTTTTGTTGGGATTCCCGCATGTCCGTTTGAGATGCTCTCGGACTCGAACAAAGGAGCTGAATGACCCAAAAGGTGAGAAGGAAACGCTGCAGCAAGAAGCTCAGTTGGCTCCACATGTGATGGGTGCCAGGAGACGGGAAAAACATACTTCACAAGAGCCTTGCTGTTCGTATTATTTATCTGCTTCTTTGGCGTTACGACCTGTCACAAGGCTCCTTGTGAGTGCAGAGCTTCTTGGAAACACCGGTTCTGCTCCAGCCTCGGGAGATTGATGCGACTTCTATGCCTTTTTGGGTGTGCCTCTGTCGCAAGAGAAGGCGATGCAGATAGCAAAGCAGGCGGTTTGGGGCTCAGAACAGTAAAGCAGGCAGTGCCTGATTGTGGCCTTTATCGACTAGCGAAGCTGTTGCACAGGTCGAGCGCTTCAAAAATGAAGGGGACAGCAGAAATGAAGCCTTGGCACTGCAGACAGTTGCTCTTAGCTCAGTGGATTTCAGCGTCGCGGCCTCCCCCTCTGCTGTGACAGAATGCGGGACCGTGCCATAAGGCCAAAACTCACATTGCCAACCAGGAGTTTCTCAGAGCCGCGCGTATCTCCAAGGTCGGAACTCGGTGCAGCCTAGCCTGTCTTGCGCTCTGAGTTACTCTGAGCTTGTGTCCTCTGTGCCTGCGTATGCCTGCGTTAGGATGCCCAAAGAATCTTGGGTCAACTTGGGGCCTTAGTCTCAGGTGCTGCTTTCTTGGTTAGAAACACTGCCCAGGGACTGACAGCTTGCCAAGGACACGGACAGCGAGATGGAGATGCTGCAAACCGCCGTAGTTTGCTGAGCATTGCAGTGCCCATTAGCCTAGCGCGTGACGCTGTTGCTGTGTTGTTTGGTGACCCTGCGTGCGCACTTGGTGACAGTCTTGCAAGAGGAGAGTGATGACAGGAGCGTGCGCTACATCCGTTGCATGCTGGAATCTCGCGGTTTTCCGCCATTTCAGTGCGATCTCCGCCATCGACACCCGCTATGGACTTTGAACCGGAAAAATGACAAGGCTTTCTAGACTTGGGAAAAAACGGGGAAGCTCAAGTCTGGGATGGCTGAGCGTGCGTCCAGGTGAGACCATGCCATTCCATGCCATCAAAGCGTTCTGTCCAATGTGTAGAGTTGAGGAGAAAAGGCCTCCCCGCGGTGGAGGCCGGCCAGGCTCAGGAGGGGTTTGTCAATATGAAGATCCAACACCTGTGAAGGATGGAGGGGCCGTGGGCGCAGGTTTGCTGGATAGTTCTTCGATGACGAAACCAAAACCAATCATCCTGAAGGAAGAGCATCTTTTTGAAGGCCGGAGTGGGGAAGAATTGGACAAGAAGCACCGTGTCTTCTCAAACTTTTCATGTTACAGAAAGAAGTTCGTTACGTGGTAGCTCCTACAAGCAGTTACAGTGGCTGCCTACTTAGCCGAGAAGCAGTACTTAAGGATCTCGAACGGGGAGTCACTATCTTGAAAGTTCAACGCTGCATCAACATGATCATGAGGCATGCAGTTGTGTGTATTGTCTGGGTGGTCTGGGTGCGTTGTGGCGATCGTGCTCGTCGCATTTTCACGATCGGACATGCAGTGAGGACACTACATCCGTTCTATCGGCGGTTTTCATCCGCACATCCGTGCATGCGCTATGCGAGCATATGCGGGCATGCGCGCTGGTCTTCAGTTACTAAGCAAGCGGATGCAGATGGACATGCCACCTTGGTACAGTAGTGATTTCAATTCGAAAAGATTGTCCAAGGGCAGCGGTCATTCTTCCTCGACCGAAGAACGATGGTGAGAAAGCACCAAGCTTATGTTTCCCACTCTTCTGAGTCCCAGCCTTCCTGGTCTTATGTGCCGGAACATCGTGTCATAGTACTTTTTGTGACTACTGCAACGATTTACTTGTCGACTGGCGAGAAGCGAAATTGTCTTCTCCGCTCCATGAGTTTTCAGCCGGCATATTTTGCTACCAGCCACTTAAAGTCTGAAAGATGGCCTGCGGCGCGACTCCGAATTTCCGAATTGGCAGTGCTCTTCAGACACTCCTGGATCCCGTGCGCGTGCATCCGGTTTGGTGGTACCTCAATGCTGTCATTGAGGTGGAAGCACACTTGGCACGTCCGGAAGCTGAGGGCAAGGCATCTGGCTGTGCAATATTGTGTTTTCGTCTGTTCGTTTCATTGACCCTGCAATCTTCTTCTTCGGGGCCTCCAGAGCCAGTGCATGACTGCATGTTTGTGCTGGCCTCGTGTGGGTCTCCATTCTTGGCATGTCGTGTGCTGAAGGTTGGTTTCTAGCAAAGCATTGTCACGATACTAGCATGTTGTCGTCAGGACGATGCCTTGCTCGTTGCTCAGTTTTCTTGAAATTCAAATTTGCATTCAGAAATTGCATGTGTGCCAAGGAAGGTGACTGTAGAAGCTCTGTCTGAGTTTCGTCGTCGCGACAACTTGCGAGGCAGGAGTACAGGATGCACCCCTGACAAGCAGTGTGATGCCTGCCTTTGATTCCGGTGACAGCCAGTGACAGCCATCAAAGCAACTATATAATGCAAATTCGGGAAGCACGCCGCTGCAGCCGATTGCCACACAGGCAAAGACAAGACGAGGTCCGTTTCAACAGCACAAGCACGCTGACACTATATTTCCGCAAACTGACCGGGCGGTAGCGATTGTTCTAGCGGTTTTGCCATGAACTGCATGTTCATGCTTTGCGCTTGCAGGCCAAGCTCTCACATTGGGATTGCTCGTGGAAAGCTCAGGGCGAACGCTCATGCGGTCTGCACGTGCGTCGCAGCCTCATTGCTGTGTCACTATGCATTTGCAACATCCCGAGGCACGCGTGTATCTGCAGCTCCCAGACCCAGAAGCTGCAGTTCATGCTGTCAGGGAGCCACCATGCGTGCTTGCTTGAATCCGGAGCTGTTCGGTCGACTCTTGTCCTTATCCCAGAAGAGTCAACTTCGGCCTACCATGGATGCAGGATGCTGTTGCCTTATTCAGAGAGCTCGGCGCAGCACCCCCAGATTCATCGTCAGTCTGCTTAGTTCACCAGTCATCCCGGAGCCACGCAGCAAGCACGAGTGCCTACGGGCATACTGTCGTATCATCAAGTAATCGAGTTGTCTGTTTCTGCTTCGGTGCACGAAGGACCGAAAGTCGGAGATGCTTCTGCCCGGATCTTACGGACTTGCCTGGCTGTTATCAGCAATCTGCGCTGGAGTTCTAGATGTTAAGTACAAGGATCCGATCCATCATCAACGAAGATTTGGTGCCCGAGTCCATTGAAAGTGTGCGCCTAAATGGAAGGCGAAAGCTACAGCTGCTGGACAGGTTTAGTTTAGCAGCAGCTTGACGTGAAAGATGTTAGAATTTCGGCAACTGGCTTGGAAGCCAACTTTGCAGCCGACATGCGTTTACAGTCATCCTTGGCTACTTAGTGCATGAGTTCAGTCCACCTGTCCTCCACCAAAGTCGCGATGCGCGGTGCCTTCCTGCTTGTGCGTGACAGCCTTTTTACCTGTCTGCGTTTCGATGTAGCCCGCGCTTGCGTGGTCTTTGAAGGTTGGCTGCTGCTTGCAGAGTTGTTACAGCTATTGCAGGACGTTTGCGTGCAGTCACAGTTGGATTTATGCCATGCATGATTTTGTGCAACACCGTCTAGTAAGTGTTTCTGAGCCTGTGCGGATCTACTTGTCCTTGTTTTCCAAAGTTGCGACATGATGACCCTACATCCTTCAAAGTTCTCCGACCGCAAGTGAGGAGAAGCCTCTCAGTACTGAAAAGTCGCAATGCAGGCGTGAGGATGTGATGGCAGGTGATGCGTTTGTTTGAATGCGCCGCGAATGGACAAGAAGTTTGATTTCCTGCGGCGAGGAACGCCTGTCCAAGGCAGGCTTGTGTCTGTGCTGGTTTACTTCCGTCGCTGTGCTCGACATCGCATTTCCCGAATGTTGCGGCATGATGTCCATTCCTTCAAAGTTCTCCGACCACAGACGTGGAGAGACATCTCACCACTGAGCCAGCAACTCGGGCCTGTTCGGGGCCTATACCACGTGGCACATTGTAGCGAGGTTGCTGGAAAAATCGTGATGTCGTGCGTAGCAGCGTCGCATTGTTGACTGGTGAGAGCGGCCCTGGCCCTGTGTGCCCAAGTTCGTGTACTCTGGCGCTTGTGCAGAGTTTGGATACACGATACTCATGCGCAGTTTTGAATCGAACCCTGAAAAGAAGTGTCATCCTCGTGTTTGGGAAGATGCCCTTCAAACTGCTGGCAATTGCATGCCTTGCTTCTGCCGAGAGGCGAAACCGAAGCTTTGCAAATTCTGATCTGGGCATTAGTGGAACCCTGCCTGCTGATACAGGCTGTTGTTCCGCACATGCAACTTTTCTTGTATTGGAAGGGACTTCGTCTTAAGGCCTGTCAGTCTGCGCTTTCAGTGTCAGTGCCTTCTGAAGATCCCGGCTTGGGTCGAGTTTCACCCCAGTTCGCAACAACGGATCTTTCGGGACTTGACTTGGAGATTTTCTGGTGTCGTTGGTCCCTTCGATTCTACGTCGTGATCGTCTTGGGTACTGTAGGATCTGGTATCTGGGCTCCACTGATTGAGAGGGCGACCACGCACTCACATGACGGCGCTCCACTTGTCTGATGCCTGATGCTCATTTCTTGTTAGCTTCCTTCTGAGCCAAGTCCGTGTTGCGTTGTTTACCACGGCCTGTCATTATAGTGCGGTGCTGCCTATCTCCGCGAAAGCAGCCGAGCCTATCTCTGTTGGATTCTGCGGGTCTTGGGAGTTCAGTGCGAGCTCATAGTTTCAAGGCGCAGATGCTTCGCTTCGAGCAGTGAAGGCCGCATTGGCAGCTGCGCTCCCAAAGGGTACGGGAACCATAGAATGTGCAGCCATGTGCAACCTGGACTCAACATAGCGCTTTTCTGAAAAGAGCCAACGTATGGTATTCAACGTGTCTGGTCTTTGAGGTCTGTCACCAGGCCGATGACAAGCGGGGCCAAGCAGACTTTGCCCGAGAATGTTGCCTGCGATGATTTTCGATGTGTGAAGTGAGGATCCTGTTAGACTGTTAGACAATCTGCCAAGGTGATGCTCAAGATTACCTTCAGGACACATGTTCTGCACAAGTCCCCAACATAAAATCTCAAGCTACAAGCCCGTTTGATTTGGGGATGTTCGTGAATGGTAGGAACATTCTGGCACACACATGCTCGGGAGGGGGGGGTCCTGATCTCGGGGCTTAAAAGGCAGCGAAGGCTGTGAGGGGAGGTTCGCTCGGTCTGGTTTCCGGGGCTAATTCGGGGAGGATCCTCCTTGCCAGAGAGCGGCCCGAGCGGGCCCTTCAGGCAGCCGAGGAGGACGGTGTGCCAGTCTTTTGCTACTCTGTCTAATGGGCATCGGAGCTGAGAGGCGATGAAGATGTATCGCGAGCAGGAGGACGAGCGCATGCTTCCTGGCCATGGCTTTCTGGTTTTTTTCTGTTCTGCGAGGATCGTGCAGGTGAGGCGCAGATGGCTCTCCAGACAACAAAGGCCGGCATCATAGCGGCAACGCTTAAGGTGCTTAAGTCTCTGCTATTGGAGGTCCTCGTCGAACGCGAGGAGTTTCGAAAGGCTTTGAGCGCAGCTCAGAGAGCCGGCCTTGGGATGCCCAAGGGACTTCTTGACTCATTGGGCAGAGCTCGGGGTCGCATGGGTCGCTAGGTGCTGTCATACTCTTCAAAGAAGTCCAGGCCCCAGATATCACCACTTGTGCTCTTGCTCGCTCCCTTCTTCTGGCAGCTCGG